GGGTTGAAAAAATAATGGTTGGTGATTGTTTGATGTGGAATTTTAAGAGACAAAGAGGTCTTTTGTTTGGTTAAGAAGAGAAATGAATGTTTGGAAAATAAAGTGTCAACTTAGTTATAAAGAGCGAAAGTAATATTGATGATCAATAAATGTGAATGATACACACACACACACACACACATATATATAGACACACACACACACGAACATGATCTCCTAAGCACCGATGACATATATAGAATTTTATAGAATTTCATAAATATAATTTTTATTTTTCTTCAACCAACTAATTAACTTTAAATAATTTGGGGCTCTCGTCAAAGCGAGGCCTTAGACAATCGCCTGCTTTGCTTATACTCGGGACCTCCACTAGATATGCATGTTTGGATGTACATTTCATGTACTATAATATTTATTGGACATTCTCTTTCGTGCATGTTGCAATTGTACACTAGATATGAATGATATTGATGGATATAATTGAGAACATTCAGAGGATCAAATTAAGATACGATGGAACTTGTGTTTTCCTCTTGGTGATGGTTATTGTATTTTCATTATGCAACTATATTATTTTATAGGTTGGACTATAACTAATAACTTCATCAAACTTGAATGTCTGGCTAGTAATGCTCATTAGCTATGCGGCTGATACAAAGGAAATAGTCATTGGCGGACATAGCGTCTTTCCTAGCATTGACGAGCTAGTGTGGATTTGAACAGTTTTGAGTTAGGAAAAATGAGGAGAAATTGCATTTGAGAGCAAGCCATACTTCTTAAGAGATAGTGTAGGTCATGACCTGAGTGAGGAAATTTTCAGTGAGTGAGGCATTTATGGGTGGAAGGATAAAAGAATCCTGACCACTGCCTCGTATTGAGGGTTTGGAATCTGGAAGATAGAATGAGAAATGGGATGGGGGGAATCAACTTCTGTCGAGGTGATTTTTCTATACCATCAATGTGCCCAAGAATTGACTGAACATGGAAGTAGGATGGGGCTTGAGCTTTCTGCATGGGGTAGAAAGTGATTAAGATTGTTATTGACAGTACTGAGCAAAAGGTTGGATAAGGAAGCGGAGGAGAATGAGGAGACCAATGTGGATCAGATGTTCGTCATTTTAGCAACTCAGTGATACTATATAGAGAATAATAGGCCTGTGATTTTTTATTTTTATTATATGTCTAATTGTGAATTACATTTTCTTTATATAGAGCTCCATCCAACAACTATTCTACTTTGTAGCCTATACTTGTGAGTTTAAATTCAAAAGAACTATCTTTCCAGCTATATCACAAAGGTCAAAATTCAAATGAGCTATCCTTAAATTTAAATGAGCTATCCACCTGAAATTAAAATGAGCTGTCCTTCTTAAATTTGAATGAGCTACTCTTCTTAGTTATCCATCTGAAATTTGAATGGGCTATCCTGCTAAGGAACAAGCATGTTGACATGTAGTTCTACAAAAAAAAAAAAATGTATGGCATGGGAACAAATAAAAGCCCTAACCCACCACCGCAACAAGGTATTCAAGGACAGTGGAGAGATGGACTAGGGTATCGACACCCACTTGCTCGGCATACTTTCCAAAATTTGAGAAATCTAGTGATTAGGAACAGGGAATTTGACACCGACTTTACTGGATAGGCATGGGATTTCAATGCATTGGGCCTCCCTCTACCTCCCTTAGTGGAGGCTCTGCCAGTTGAATTTTACTATAAACCCTAGAAAGGAATTGAAATTGGAAACTAGAATTTGCTAGAAAATGCCGGGCTTTTATGGAGATGAAGTGGTCAGTAGATGGTTCTATATAAGAATTTAGTGAGATAGTGCTAGAGTTTGATTGGCAGATAGACATGTGCTGCTGATAGATGATGTGGCATGAAGATTGAAAATGAGAATTTTAGATTTTTATTTTCCTTTTAAGTAGAATTCGACTCGATAAAAACTTTTACTGTTGAGTATCTCCATATATAGTATACTGTTTTCATCTATTTAGCAATAAAGACATGGTCATCTGTCTTTCTATTTGCATAAGCTGTTACAGAAGCCTCGAAAAATGAGTATATTGTGATGCAGCGTGCTATAATCACCACCCATTGCTGGACTAATGAGATGAAAATTTTCATCAAGGTGAATGGTAATCACCAAGATAACTACTAAAACATTTACAAATCTTCATTTAATACAAATTATCAAATGAGAAATCACGTTATTGAGTATTTATCCTTTTCAGCCACACTACGTGTGGTGCATGTGCAATTCACATGCGACAGATGTGAAATGGACGCCTAAACTCTTTTAAAATTCCTTCCTGAATGAGCACATTTAATTATTTAAAAAATTGGGAAATGAACAAAAAAAACTGGACAATTTGTCCTTCCAAGCTTTAATATAACGTGTAAGATTCATGTGCAAGTCACTCGATGTATGTAATTTTTTGTTTATTTTTTTTTGGGTTTTCGGACGATCATGAAAAGAACTCAAATGTAAAAGATGGGAATTACAGCATCAGAAGCTCTAAAGTATAAACAATCAACTTCTACCATCTTGGGAATGAAGTATTCACCACCGAGCACAAGCACGGACAAAAACATTGATTAACCATATAGAAAATGCGAGTAACAGTATAAACCAGAAATGAAGTCCCAAAATGGTATCAACATCCAATGGGCATTCATATCCAATTTAGTCCAAAGATTAATGCTTTATATATCATATGCAACATAATAGAATATTCATTTCCATTCGATATTTCAAACAATGCTAGTTACCACAAATAGTTAAGCAGGTAACATCTATATCTTCAGTCGCATATTCTTAAGACAACTGATTACTGACAAACAAAAAAAATAAATAAATAACATAGACTCGTATAATTGAATAAAAAACTATTATATTTAGAAGAGTCTTTAACTAATAAAAATCTGAAGACCAAAACCCTTAGCCACTGTTTGATAACCATTATCTCGGAAAACCAATGTTTTGAACAGTGTTTTTTAGGAGAATGTGTAGCTAAAAAGTAGGTAAAGTTTTGGATTTAAATGCAAAAAATTACATTGTGTGTATGTGTGGTTGAAGAGGAGAATGCAGAAAAAAGAGTTTTCAAATAATAGTGGTCACAAGTAAGGGCTTAATATCCATCCAAATGCCATAAATAATACATTAAAAACGGTAGAATTCTTCTGAAGCAAACCCATTCTCTTTATCTTTTCTATCGGCTATCTTTGGCGACAAACACTGATTAATGTTAGTCAGAACCCCACTGTTTGCAATGGTAACATTTCCCAAAAGCTTGCTCAAATCTTCATCGATCTTTACAGCCAATTGTTTATGCCAAGGTGCAATCCCATTCTTCTTCTTGTCCCTAGCCTCATTTCCTGCGAGCTCCAAAACCTCAGTCAACAGAACCATATAATAAATCCGGAAAATAAAAAACGTACGAAATGGGAACAAACAAAACCCATAACGCATCTCAGAAGCAAGGTATTCAAGAATGGCAGAGACGTATACTGGGGCACCAGCGTCGACACGCTCAACAAACTTTCTATTACTTAAAAATCCAGTGATTCTTCCAACTGGGAATTCAAGGCCAGCTACGAGATCGAGATAAGTATTTCAATTACTTGGGCTTCCATCTACTACCCTTAGTGGAAGCCAGTTGAACTCATTTTCAGATTTTAATTTTACTGTAAATCCTAAGGGCCTGCTTGGGAGATTTGGCGTACTGGTTATTAGCATTTTTTTAATGTACCATTTAGGAGCATTTACAAGAGGTTCAATTTTGAGTGGTTCTAGTACCGATTTATAAAACTGGCAAACCTATGTTTGGGAGTTTATTATCCACTAGTTTTGAAAGATTTTTAGAAGAATAAAATTATATATATGTCCCTTAATAAAATTTTCAGTTTATGGTTTCTTTTATGAAATTTTTTGTATATCAGTGATACTTTACTTATAAATATAAATATTTTTTTACTTATAAGCAATGTCATTAGTAGCTTTATTTTGAAGTACATTTCGTGAGCTCCCATTCAAACACAATAAATAAAAACCACACGTAAGAATTTAAGCGGCCAAAGTCAAACATACCAGATCTATTATCTTGATCTGGTACTAAGCACCTAAAAATATACAATGGATGGTAATTATAGCAAACTTGCATCACAACATAACTACTTTTGGAGGCTTCTATAATTGCTTCTGTTAATTGAATTGACTTGTTAAAGTAAATCCTGTTGTTACATACAGAAAACACTATCACTACAACAAAAGTAGCTTTTTTATGGCATGCATTTACGGCGTGCATCTATGGCATGCCGTAAAAATAGACGAATTACGACATGCGATGTATGTATGCTGTGAAAGATCAAGTAATTAGAGCATTTACGGCATGCAGCCTTTGCACGCTGTATTAACGGGCATTTACGGCTTGCACTCAAAAGCACGCCGTGTTATATTGTCAAAAAATTCATTACAAAGCCCTAAAAACACAGCATTTCTCCCATTCTCTTTTCCCCATCGACTTCACCTCTCCATGATTTCTCCTGGCCTTTTAGTTCTCACTCTCTCTCTCTCTCTCTCCACCTTCCACGGTCGACCACAGGCAACTTAGCTCACTCTTGTCTCTCTCCAGTTTCCACCGTCGACTGACGGCACCTCAGCCCTCACTCTCATCTTTCTCCACCTTCCAACTGCGCCGCTCACTCTCGTCGCTCGCCTCCCAGGACACAAATCATTCATGTACGTTGTCTATGCACATTTATTTATTGTTCATTTGAGTTATTTTTCCTGTTGTCAATTTTGAGTTTGCAGAAAACTGGAGAGAAATGCATCTGAGGGAAAACCTAAGTATTTTTTCAATTTTGTGTTTATTTAAAAATTTAAACATGGGTTGCTGTTGAATTTTATTATTTAAAGATTTATTTTGGATGTTGGCACTGCTGCATTGAGAACAATTGAACAATGGTGTGTAGATGGTTGGCGAGGGCAACAAAGTCATTTGCAATTGCGTACATGGAGGCCAGGAGGAAGTTCAATACCCAAAAACTGGGACCGAAGCTTTGCTAATTGGCATTTTGGTTGAAGGTCGGTAGTTAAATGATAAATAATTCAATTTGATAGTATAATCCAATTAGTTTGTAGCTTATAATTCACTCGGATTTTTATTTCATAAATCTAAAAATGATGTTTATTTCAGTTTATTTGATTTCTAGAAGAACTTATAGAATATGAGCTAATGAAGCCTAGCTTTAGCAAAAAAGATGAGATGATAAGATATGAGGTTCCAAGTCCCACTAATTGATGCAATTGGATATGTTGACGTAGTCAACTGGGCGGGATTGGAAAAATAATGTTACTTAACTAGCCGCTATATAGAGGTCACATGTTAATTTTATTGGAGGATTCTTAAAATCATATTGAGCTAGTTGATCTTGTTATTTCAAAGTTGGGGAATGGATTATGCAGAAGTTGCAATTACAATGTCATGTCATTGTGTGAAACGTCAAGATTCTTCTTTTCTTACTAATTACTGGGCCCCAGTAAAGAGAGTTGGCCATACCAACATGATAATTTCTTGATTCTGACTTATAGTTATGAATATTCAATGTATTGTTCTGTGATTGAAAATGTTATACCATTATGACCAGGTTTGACTTATTATGTGGGTTAATTTTGATGACATCCTACAATACCTTTGACTGTGACCTACTTTGATTTCATTCAAAAGCTAAGACATTGTCAATTTATGGGGAGAAGTTTGCTGATGAAAATTTCAAAATCAAACATACCAGACCTGGTAGGAGAACAGCCTATATATGTCCCAGAACCTCCCCTTCCCTAATACCATCTCACTCCATGATTTCAGATTTCTGAGTTTCACTGTGGGAAAGCATTCTTTGTGTCATCTTATTATTTTTGTCCACTTTTCAGGGCTTAGGTCTATGGCAAATGCTGCGCAGGACACTAATGGTCCACAATTTTTCATCTGTGATGACGAGCTGGTAACTAGACAATTTATGATATTGCTCTTATGAGAAAACTGACATCCATTTTCAGGTCTTCTGTCTGGTGCTTCTATTTAGCCTGGAAAATCTAACAAAAGTTAAATGTTCAACAGGTTAGACGATCATCATGTTGTATTCAGAAAGGTGCTGTCCGGAATAGATGTGGTGTATAAGATAGAAGCCGAATGCAACTGGAGTGGAACAACCAAAAGCAAAGTTGTGATTGCAGATAGTGGTGAACTTCCCTTGTAATCAGCTTGTACTTGAACTTGTCAGTTTTACCCTTCTACTCACTTCTACTTACTGTGGGTTATGCATCTTAATTTCCATACCTGAATTATGTTATTTAGGAAAATGAAATAGGAACCAGAAAAGTACACTTTTCAGTTTGGCACCAAATATTATGAGTCCATAAGGCATGTAGAATGTATATTAGGAAAGAAGACAGGAAACAGATGCGATTTCTCTTACATTGTTGACAGAGATCATTAGGGGATCAATGTTAATTTTCTAGGAATTTCTTTATGCTGATAAGAACACGAACACTGTTGCCTCAAAGGGTGTTCAAGGAGCTAAAATTGATTATCAAGAACCCGTAGATTTAGAGCTTATGATGGATATTGTTACTAACCTTCAAAAGGTTCGTTTTACATTTTCTTGATCTGTTCAGTGACCTTTCCTTTAGTTAGCATTAATACAAATTTTTGTCTCTCATACATGAAGCAGGAAAGAAGACAAAGAAATAGCAAGAAGTCGTAATTGCATAGTGAGGAAGTTTCAAAGGCACCAAGAATGATTTTTTTATCTGAAGTTGAGAAGTATTGAAATGAATTTTACATTGATATATTGTATTAAACTGTACTCAATATTTATGGAATCTATGAAAAACCTGGTTATATTTATGGAATTTTGTTTTGTAATTACTATTGGTAATCAAATAAATAAATTTTAAAAAAATAAAATTTACAGCGTGCATTTTGCACGCCGCAAAAAAAATACATTACATTTTACGGTGTGAATGTGCACGCCGTTAAAAAAATTGCCACCGTAAAAGGTTTTAACGGCATGCATTGCACGCCGTAAAAAGGAAATACTTTTTATGGCATTGCTTTAAACTACATGTGGCCGCACGCCATAAATTGGTTTTTACGGCATGTAATGCACGCCGTAAAAAGTACATTTTGTTGTAGTGTATATTCATGTTCGTAAGGCTCAGGAATCAGTCAGTGCACTTCAACTAAATTAGAAACATTTGAGTAAGCTCGTTTGAACTCCTTATGATTGTTTAAAGTAATCAAAATTTCAAAATAACGTTTTACCTATCATTTTAAAACACCTATACCCATAAGTAAACAAGTTTATATATAAACATATACGTAAAAATTTATTTTTATGAAAATAAAAAAATCGTTCATGGTATAAAATTTACCTATAATGTAAAAGTCATTCGTTAGTGAAAATTTATTTATAAGTAAAAAGAAAATTAATTATAAGTAAAAAGTCTCATATGGTATAAAAAAACTAAACAAATAAAAATTCACCTAGAATAAAAAAATCAATTATACTACTGGTTATAAAATTAAAAATAAATCATTTGGGTTGTACATGCAAGCACATGTTTTGTTAAAGAAAGTAGACAATATAAGTAGCTTAAAATGCAACCTTAGGAAGTGGAAACTTGAGAGAAGCTGTAAGGCAACCACCTCTGATATTTATACGTCAATGGCTTGCTGTCAACACTATAGATATCAACCATATGAATCTGCTCTATGGAGCCCTTATTGTGTTTTGTAAACCACAGAACTGTCAAACAATATCTACTAACCCAAAAAACGAGTACACATGGGAAGACGCTATGTTTCCATTCCCAAATATGTTGAGTACTTGAAGGAATGGTTCAATGCCCAGTTGTAGTAAGATCAATTTAATCCTATTCAACGTTTCTTGTAATTAACACCCAAAATAACATAATATGGGGTGTTATACCCCTATAGTCTATGGGATTGGAATAATAATGTCTATATAATGCTTTAAAACATATATTAAATTCACTATTTCATGAACAATAAGGAGTAAAATTAGTTGAATTAAAATATGTATACTCATAATCAAAAAAATTTAACTTAATTTCATGTTTTTAAGAATTAAATATGGGCTAACTTTTGTCAAGGCGTATGTATGTCATTGGTCCTAATCTCCCTTTAGTCAACACGGTTAAAATAATACCCTCTATGAATAGATTTAGACCATATTATTAATTCAAATACTTCATGAAAAATATGGAACTTTTTAATTGAATTGAAACACATAGATTCATAAGTAAATAAGTTGTTTGTGTGTGTGTATTTACGCATGTTTAGAAATTTAACTTGTATGAAAAATCCAATCATGGTAAAAAAATTACTAATAAGTAAATTATAAGTCAAAAGAATTACTTTTAAGAAAATTTTCACTTGTAAGTAAATAATATTCTCGGAAGTTAAAAAAAGAATCTCATATAAATATAAATTCACTAAGAATTAGACATTCAATTACATAATCAAATACATCACATGTGTTGCACGTGCATCATAAGTGTTCTGTTAGGTATAAATAACTTATAATATAAATTTTACTTAATTTTAACTTTTTAGTCACTAAATATGGGTTTATTTTCAGGATCCACTTCCATTAGTACAAAAGTAAGTTTCTTTATACGAGACATTGAATGCAAATACAAGATTAGATTGGGTAATTAGCCCTATGTGGTAATTATTTCTCTATGTTTGAATAATAGGGAGGAAACTAGTTTCTCTATCCTCTTCTTTGTGAAGAGGCATTAGGCTTTTTTAATTTTTTAGCAATTGAAGGAGCCAAAGAATGTTATGGCAAACTAAGATGGTACAACTAAGAAAACATATTGATGCAAATTTAGGCAGTGAAAACCTAAGAGAAGCTGTAAGGCTACCACCTGGGAAGGATATAACTGAATGGCTTGAGATAGCTTACTGTCAACAATGTGTAGATTTCGTCAACCAAGTAAATCTACTATAAAGAATCCTCGCTGAGTTCTACAAGCCAGAGAAATGTCCGACCACGTCTACAAACCCTAAATACGAGTACAAATGGGTTGACTGAGTCCAAATCGTGAAACCCATTGATGTTTATGTTCCAAATATGTTGAGTACTAGATCGAAAATGAACAATGATCAATTTAATTGTATCCAACGTTGGTGCAACTAATACCCATATTAACTTAATCGAGGGTGCTTATAAAACATCCAATCGGCATTCATATCCAATTTACTCCCAAGATTAGTGCTTTATATATCATATGCCACATAATAGAATATTCATTCCCATTCGATATTTCAAACAATGCCAGTTACCACCAAATACTTAAGCAAGCAACATCTATGTCTTTAGTCGCATAATCTTAAGACAACTGATTATTGACATATTAAATAAATAAACATAGGCTTGTATAATTAAACAAAAAATATATTATATTTTAGAAGAGTCTTTAACTGATAAAAATCTGAAGACCAAAACCCTTAGCCACTGTTTGACAACCATTATCTTGGAAAACTATGTTTTGGATAGTGTTGTCTAGGAAAATGTGTAGCTAAAAAGTAAGGAAAATTTTTGGAATACATGCAAAATATTACATTGTGTGGATATGTGGTTGAAAGTGAGAATGCAGAAAAAAGAGTATCAAATAATAGTGATCAAATAAGGGATTAATATCAATCCAAACACTATAAATAATACATTTAAAAACCGTAGAACTATTGCGAAGCAGAGCCAATCTCTTTTTCTTTTCTGCCAGCTGTCTTTGTCAACAAATACTGATTAATGTTAGTCAGAACCCCCACTATTTGCAATGGTAACATTTCCCAAAAGCTTGCTCAACTCTTCGTCGTTCCTTACAGCCAATTGTTTATGCCTAGGCGCAATCCTGTTCCTCTTCTTGTCCCTGGCCTCGTTTCCTGCACGCTTCAAAACCTCAATCAACAGAACCATATTGTAAATCCTGAATATAAAAAATGTACAAAATGGGCACAAACAAAACTGATAACGCATCGCAGCAGCAAGGTATTCAAGAATGGCAGAGAGGTAAACCAGGGCAATGGCGTCGACACACTCATCAAACTTTCTATTCCTTATAAATCTATCAATTCTTCCAACAGAGAATTCGAGCAGTTCAATTTTTTTGTGGTTTTAGTAGCGATTTTTAAAACTATCAAACCTATGTTTCAGAGTTTATTATCCAATAGTTTAGAAAGATTTTTAAAAGAATAAAATTATATACATGTCCCTAAGTAAAATTTTCAGTTTATGGGTTCTTATATGAATTTTTTTACTTATAAGTGATATTTTACTAATAAATAATTTTTTTTGTGTATAAGTTAATATTTAACTTAAAAAATTAAATAAAGTTAAAAATTTTAAATATTTAAATTTAGTGCAGATTTGAACAGTTCGAGTGCGATGAAATGAGGAGATATTGCATTTGAGAGCAAGCCATAGTTCTTAGGAGATGTTGTAGGCTATGATCTGAGTGAGGAAAGTTTCAGTGAGGGGAGCATTTATGGTGGGAATGAAGAAGGAATCCAGGCCACTGTTTCATATTGAGGTTTGGAATCTGGAAGAGAGCATAAGAAATGTGATGGGGGGAATCAACTTCTTTGGGAGGTGGTTTCACTATGCCATGAATGTAACCAAAAATGGACTGACGATTGAAGTAGGATAGGGCATGATTTCTCTGCATGGGGTAGTTTCTGTGATTAAGATTGGTATTGATGGTGAGAAGAAGTTGGGATAAGGAAGCACAAGAGAGAGAATAATAGGTTCGTGATTTTTTTATGTATTGAATTGTGAATACACGTTCTTTATATATAGAGCTCAATACAATAACTATTCTACTTTGTAGCTTATACATATGAGTCAAATTTCAAAAGAACTATCCTTCTAGCTATATCAAAAAGATTTAAATTCCAATAGGTTATCCTTCTTAAAATTCAAATGAGCTATCCATCTTAAATTCAAATAAGCTATCCGTCATAAATTTAAATGAGCTATCCATCCGAAATTTGAATGAGCTATTTGAATGAGCTATCCTTCTTAAATTCAAATGAGCTATACTCTGTGAATGAAATAGTCATGTTGACGTGTTGTTATATAAACATAAAAAAATGTGCGGATCAAATGGGGTCAAATAAAACCCCTAACCCACCTCAGCAACAAGGTATTCAAGGACGGTGGAGAGAAAGACCAGGGCATGAAATTGACACTCTCAGCATACTTTCCAAAATTGAGAAATCAGCGATTCCGCCTACAGGGAATTCAATACAATTCTTACTAGATTGGCATAGGATTTTCGATCCATGCATTGACCCTCCCTCTACCTCCCATAGTGGAGTCTCTGCCAGTTGAATTTTACTATAAACTATAGAAAGGAATTGAAATTGGATACTGGAAATTGTAAAAAAAAAATGTCAATCTTTTTACGGAAATAAAATGGTTAGTAGATGGTTTACATAGGAATTTAGTGGGCTGGTGTTAGAATTTGATTGCCAGATAGAGATGTGTTAGGGATCGATGATGTGGCGTAAAAATTGAAAACGAGGATTTTATATTTTTATTTTACTTTTGAAGTAGAATTCGCTCATGAAATGCCTCATTAAAAATTTTAACAGTTGAATAATCCCATATGTAGTATACTGTTTTCATCTATTTAGCAAGACATGGTTATTTTTCTTGCTGTAGAAGCAACTTTTTCTCAACCTTGAGTGCAATTAATTGTTTCCAAGGAAAACTAAACGTATATATGGAAGGTCTATTTCAAAGATTGATAAAATGATAATTTGAATTTTTTATTATTTTTGTTGAGAAGTAAACTTTATTTTTGGACTAAATAATATGAGCTTAAGTATTTTGATCATACGCCCAAATCAATTAAAAAGCCAAAAATGCCTAGCATTTCTAGAAACACTGTCTAGAAAAATCTATATAAATATTTAAGAATATGTGGTCTTATATATACAATCTATCTAGAGTATTCTAGAAAAATATTTTGTCCAAATGTGTGATCTAAAAGCCTTATGTAAATATGTG